AACAGACGAGAGGCAGGTGATGCGGGGCACCAGCGAGACCACCCTCTCACATCAGCTGATTGCCAGTAAACAGACCATTTTGCATCACGTAATTTTAGCCGTATTGATTTTTTAGTGTTTCTTTAGCATAATACAGTGATATCCCCAGGGCCGGGTTTAGACTTTCGTAGGCCTTAGGCACCTCCAAGATATGGGGCCCCATTTGACAGCATATTCACTAATAACACAAGCTAGTACCTAATTATAAAATGTGATGTCGAAAGAATAAGATTCAGTGATGTTTGCCATGAATTGAGTAAAAGAAAATGGGTTAGATCAGCTGTTCTTGTACAGTACAGAAATAGTTTTGTTTACAAGAAGCACAGCTAGCTGGTGGACACTAATAGGATTAAGTTATAAATAAAAGGAAAAAAAGTACCTCAGTATCAATTTAATAATAACCTGTAGAAAAAGGGGAAGAAAAGTTCTCGTTTTATTTTTCGTAGGACCCCAATATCTCGTAGGCCCTAGGCACTGTGCCTAATGGATAATCCGGGCCTGGATATCCCCGTTAGCCGGAACAATTGGTGCAGAGCACTTCCAGGAATGAGAGATTTCAGGGTAACAAGACGACTCTCTCAAAGCCGGAAAAAATCTCTCATCCCCCGAATTTTCCGAGTAACGGAAAAATGTTCTCGGAAGTTCCAGAAATTGCCTATTACATCATCTCTCGAACCTGTTAAAAAAAAAACCATTCTCGAAATTTTCTGGGTAATGGAAAATTTTTCTCGGAATTTCCAGAAAATGCACCTAATTTTCATCTCACAAACCCGGAAAGAAAACTCCCCCTTCCCCGGAATTTTCTGGGAATTGGGAAAATTTTTTCGGAATTTTCCAGAAAATGTACCCTTCGGAAAATCGGGCTATCGGAGAGTTACAGGTTCAAGGGATTCTGGCTTAGGGAGATATTACTGTACCACAAAAAAAAATGTTTTGTTTATTCTAGATGGGCTGACATGCATCGATTTAGTGCGAATTTGGTTTAAAGAGACTTATCTTGGAAAGTATCTCGTGTTATATCAATGTTCTACTGTATTGTATATGAAGGGTACAGGTTATTACACTGACGTATCTTTACTAATTAATGCAAAACAAATAAAACAATATTGCATCATGAATGAAACAGTACAGTATTTGGTAAAACACAATCAGTGAGGTGATCCTTTGAAGAGGGAAGGGGGCACATTTACCCTCCAATGGACCCTTCTCCCTCTCACTCCTTTCCTCACAGCATTCGTTTGTGTTAGATGAATAAATTCTCCACAAGACATTTCCAATATGATATCCTTAAAAGACAAGCTGAATAATAAGGTAAAATTAAGTATTTTACTGTATATAAAGGGTACTGTACTGGTATTAATAAGCCCAAATTATTACAGTAACATATCTCTACTAATTAATAAATAACAAGTAAACAATATTTTGCCCAGGAAGAATGATAAGAGGCAGACAACCTTTTTAGGAGTGTGCAGTCAGTTTCTACCAGTCTCTATGTACAGAACAAAAAAAGGATTTATTTTAAATACAGTAAATCCTCGATTAACCGACCACATATGGGGGGAAGGGGCCGACAGATAATCCAAAAGGTCGGTTAATAGTACATAAAGTGTACGGAAATAAAACATACATTTTCAAAGTACCTTTACCTAACCTACCTCATTTAAGTCCCTCTATTCATTTTTGTTCATTTGCCATTCATATTTCAATAGAATTTGCTTTAAAACATTAACCACTTTAGTAAATAAACATGAACCAGCACAGAAACCGTGAATAAAAAATGGAAAAGTCAAAGAACATGTCATCACAAAAATTGTGACCAAGTCCCAGGTTGCTGATCTGACTTTCTGCCTCATTTACACACAATTGCAGGGTCTCAATTGTTTCTCTTACTATTGACAACACAACGCACATACAGGTACATTGTTTCTCACTCTTGATTTTTTTTTTCATTTTTGCATTTATTTGTGGTTCTTTATTACTACTATTATTATTATTATTATTATCATTATGAACATTATTACATTATCGCCCCCCAGGCCCCGATGTGGGTCAGTGACCTGTGCCCGGGTGGGCCAATCCCAGTGTAAAAAAAAAAAAAAAAATTGGGAGTTCGGGATTGACGGTTAACCTGAAAGTCGGTTAATCGAGGTTTTACTGTACTCTGTAACATTCTATATCATAATATCCTGACCACTGGGACTAGTTATACAGACTTTTCCCTGTGAAAAAGTCATAATTTTGAGCAACATTACTGTACTGTATTCACTTTGTACTCAAATGTACTAAGCTAAAGGATCTAAAATCTTTATCTCTTGTGCAAACTGTGAGATGTTTATACTCAAATTAATCACTATCTTGCAAGAATTCCAACTGCAAGTTATATTCTGCTAAGTCAAGTCTGTGACATTTTATAAGATAAAACTATAAGCCTAAAACAACTTCCATCTCATTAATCGTTGTTAATTGCTAGCTGGGAGGAGGGGGATGGGGAGGTGGGATGTTGACAGCAGGAGCGGAGCTTAACATGTAGTTGTTAGTGGAGGGAGGAGGGGTCAGGAACTCGGGAATAAATTCTACAAGACATGGAGTTTAATTTTTTGCTTATAAAATGTCACTGACTTGACTTAGCTGAATATAACTTGCATTGTTGGAATTCTTGCAAGATAGTGATTAATTTGCCTATAAACATCTCAGTGTTTGCACTAGATATCAAACTTTTAGTAATTAACTTAGTACATTTGAGTACAGGTTGTGATAATTTATGCGGTTGCTCAGCAGTTGTGAAGCTTCGTGACATCACTTGTGTATAATGCGTCTCCCTATGCTCTGGTTTATTCATGGATCAGTTGTCTAAGTGCAAAAGTAGCCAAACCAAGCCATCATGTATCAATTTATTTTAAAATATAAATTATAAAGTAAAATTTTATAAGACAATGGTTTAGTAGTGCTGTTAATGTGTGTTGTGTAAGTGTCTCGGCATGTTACCTCACCACCTGACTCCATCACCTAACCACTTGACTAGTTACCTCACCCTTTGCCTCGTTAGCTCAGCTCGGAATTACATCGATTTATTACTGTATTATTTATTTTTGTTCAACCCAGAATGGGATGCTTAGCTTTAACCTAGGTATGTTAATGCCTAGCAATAACTCGCCAGGCCAATATACAGGCAATTAAAACATCTAATAATTACTTAAGTAATTTTAGGAGGACACGTCGCTACCTGGCATTTAATTGCAATTGTCGAAACCCCCCCTTCACACGCACTGCCACCTTCATCTCTTGCCTAGCGATTCAGCTATAAGTTCATACAATGAGAGCTCCGCGAATTTGTGTCATAATTGCTGAAATACTAAGCTCCGCGAGGATTTTATATACGGTATTTGTACTTATTAGCACAGTGATGAAGTTGAGTGACTTTTATTTTGTTACGTCTCTCAATTATGGTAATTGGGACAATTTCTTATACGATCTCTGGTCAGTCATGGCGACAACAACGTCTTCTTTGTGAAGTCGTTTAGATCGATGTGACTATCCCTTGCCTTTAAGTCACTTAGTGAATGTTGCTGCAGTCTCCCGGGCTTGTTTTCACTGAAAGAAAATATGTGAATAGATCTATTTATATATACAGTAATACCCCGCTTTACACGGTTTTGGTTTACGCGGTACCCTGCCAGAAACGGAATTCCCACTTTACGCGGTGCATCTACTAATATACGAGGGTGAAGTATAATATTTTTATTTAGCTCATAAAATTCATACAAATTACCAGGCCAGAATATAATTTACATTGCTGGAATTCTTACAATATGATGATCATTTTGAAAGTGAACATCATAGATTTTGCATTAGGCATACAAATTTTAGATCTAATGCAAGAATTTTGTTTACACAGAGCAAATATGTTATCTTTTGTGCAAAATATATGATGTGTATATTCAAAATATTCCTGGTCTTGCAAGGAATCCAGCAATGTCAATTATATTATCCTAACTTTAGTCTGAGGTATTATTTATTACTATACATTAAAATCTAGTGTTTTCACCCAAACATTTCTCAGAGAGGTAGGAGCCAGCGAGCGTGGGAAGAGGGGGAATTGAGTTCATTATTTGAATGGACATTAACCTGGCGACTGTATTTCTCTTAAATATTAATTGTGTGTGCATACCATCATAAAACTAAGATGTTATTTTTACTACAACATAGGTATTGTGTCGGTATTGTGTCCGAAAAAGTTGAGTTTGGGAGTCGGCCCAGTCTCTATTTCAATTAATCCATATGTTCTGTTATTCCATTTACGCGTTTCTCATTTCACGCGGACCTCCGCGGGTTCAATTGACTGCGTAAATCGGGGTATTACTGTACATATACATGTAGACTGTTTACAGTTTTCTTTGTTTCAATTATTCACGTGCTAGTATGAATGCCATGACTGTCTCTCTTCCTCTTCTTATGTTCGTTCACAAAATACCTTTGGGTATTTATTTTTTAGTATTGTATGTACATTTAAAGAAATATTTTTATTTTACCAGTAATCATAAAGGTGGGGGGTCCTCGGGTCTACACCCACCTTTTCATCAGACAATTCCAATAAATTTTCTTTTATGCAGTATTACTACTCAGGCAGTTTGGCATAGTAAAAAGTAATTACTATTGACCTCATAACATCTCCTAATATCAAGTGCACATGGCCTCAAAATGACCATGATATTGGTCAGATTTCACCCCAGCTGGGTGGGCTCACTGTACCTGCCATGTACCCTCCCACAACTTCTTGGACCCCCCACCTTTGACTTTTTTCATACATATTCACCTTTTGGTCCTAAAAAGTGGAAAATGATATCAAGTCCAGTGAATTTTCATCATATAGCAACACACATAACATTGGAGGCACAGTTTTGTATCTTTTTTTCTTTAGAACTGTTGGGTACAGATAAGTATTGAAAAGGAAACTACAGCCATGTATGAAAGTCACTGTGATCAATAGTATGTGGTGGACATCACAGTCAAGCTGAACAATATATTGCAGGAATATCACAACATATAATTTTTACAGGTCACTTTCTGTAAGGCAGGAAAAAGTGTTGGAGATAAATAAATAAAATACACATTAAATAGGAACACAACTCAATCTCAAAATAAAAAGTAAGCAAACCAAAACATGAATAGTTTCAGCTTGGAGATGATTCATTGTTTTGATTTTTAAATACCCATTGTTGTGGAGGCACATATTTCAATACCCTCTGTTCACTAGGAGGAAGTGCAGCACCAGGACTACGACCCGGTCCAAGTGGTTGGTTTCTCAGTGGGTATGGTGGTGGTGGCACACTAGGGCGGCGCCAATCACGATATACCATAGCTATCAGCAGGTACATACCGCCAATTAGTTTTTCTATAAATGATAGTACAGTTTGCAGGAATGGAGTGATGTGGTGAAAAAAGATTCCTGCTTCCCGGATGAATTGCAATCCAAGATTGTGCGACTCTTTCACGAACGAAACAAAGCCAATCACCAACGTCATAACCAGTATGACCAGGAACCTGCCAAATACATTATATTAATGTTACATTACATTTAGCATGCAGTAAATGTCAAAAATTTTCATTAATAAAGATTAAAATATAAAATACTAATATACAGTCATCAAATTATGATTAGCATAAAGGTAGTACAGTGGTCCCTCGGTTAACGAATGGTTCGATTAACGAAATTTTGGTTAACGAATTAGCTCGCATAAGGATCTTCAATTCGATTAACGAAATCCTTACGAAAAACGCTGATCAGCTGATGGGCTAGTCTGCCACTTCAGTAATCTTTTCTATGTTTACATTCATTTCCAGTGGAATAAATATAAAGAAATTTGTGCTCTTTAGTATTTTTGCATTTTTTGTGCGCCCATCAGCCGCTTGACTCAGCCACCAGGCGTCAGTTTGGCTTTGTTGACAGTGGAGTGAACATCGATTTTGTTGGTGTCTTGAATATTTTTGCATTTTTACATTAAAATTATTGGTCATTCTGAAATTTAGTTAACATATTGATAATATATAGCGCAGTGCAGTGTTGATTTAAATAAATCTTGAATTACACCTAGTGAACTTAAAATTTTATTGGTGAAATTACTGCATCAAGCATGGGTCCCCTGAAAAGTGATATCCCCTCCATCCCCACTTCCTTCTCTTCTCCCTTCTCCTCCACCCCCACTTCCAATTCCCATCATCATCAGCCAGGAACCTTCTACATACACACCTCAAAGTAAGTGTACTTTACTGCATTTTTTTTTACTTTGTATGTACTTTTCTGTGAGCTGGAACCAATTACCCAATATCCCATTGAAACAATGGATTCAGTTAATGAACGACTCTGTGGAACGAATTGTTTTCCTTAACCGAGGGACCACAGTATATATTTATATACACACAGTATTTAAAACCACACACACACACACACATATATATATACAGCTACTCCTCAACTTACGACCTACTCAACTTACGACCACCCAGACATACGACCGCCCCAATCATAACAAAACCTTTTCAAATTACATATTTTCGAGTCCCGATGTTAGTCATTGCACTGATGTGCTTAAAAGTGAGAGTTTTGTGGTGCTGAGAAGAAAAAGAGATACCCATTTTAGATTTTATATGTATTATCTTAGCATTTTTGACTTACGACCTGGATTTGGGTCCCTAACTCTGTTGTAAGTCTAGGAAAATATAAATATATATACAGTCAACCCTCACTTTACGCGGTCCCACATTCCGCGTTTCCACGTTTACGCGGTACCCTGCCGGAACCCGGGATGCTCACATTCCGCGGTGTGTGTACCCCTTTAAGCGGGTGAAGTATAATTTTTTATTTAGCTCATAAAATTCATACAAATTATCCGGCCAGAATATAATTTACATTGCGGGAATTCTTACAATTTGATGATCATTTTGAATATAAGCATCATAGATTTTGCATTAGACATACAAATTTTAGATCTAATTTAAGTATTTTGTTTACTCAGAGCAAATATGTTAACTTTTGTGCAAAATATATGAAGTGTATATTCAAAATATTCCTGGTCTTGCAAGGAATCCAGCAATGTCAATTATATTATCCTAACTTTAGTCTGAGGTATTATTTATTACTAAAAAGGTAAATATTCTGGTTTCTCCCAAACATTTATCTGGTAGGGAGGGTTGGTGGAGGGTGGGGGGGAGGGAGGGACTGACCGACCATCTGGCGCAGTTGGAAGAGGGGGGAGGCAAGGTGGGGGTACTTTGATTGACAGATAGTGTCGTGAAGAATATTTTTTTTTTATTAACAGAAGATATTTGTTTTACCTCATAAAATTCATACAAATTACCCGGCCAGAATATAATTTACATTGCTGGAATTCTTACAATTTGATGATCATTTTGAATATAAACATCATAGATTTTGCATTAGATATACAAATTTTAGATCTAATGTAAGTATTTTGTTTACTCTGAGTAAATATGTTATCTTTTGTGCAAAATATATGAAGTGTGTATTCAAAATATTCCTGGTCTTACAAGGAATCCAGCAATGTCAACAATATTATCCTAACTTTAGTTTGAGGTATTATTTATTACTATACCTTATAATCTAGTGGTTTTCCCCCAAAAATTTCTCAGAGGGAAGAGCCAGAGAGTGTAGTGTGAGAAGAGGGGGAGGGAGTTGAGTCCATTCATTGAATGGACATTAACTTGGCGACTGTATTTCTCTATTTCTCTTAAGTATTAATTGTGTGCATGTACCATCATAAAATTAAGATATGTTATTTTTACTAGAACATAGGTATTGTGTCAGAAAAAGTGGAGTTTGGGGGTCAGCCGGTCTCTATTTCATTTAATCCCATATGTTATGTTGTTCACTTTACGCGGGCCTCCGTGAGGTCAATTGACCGCGTAAAGTGAGGGTTCACTGTATTTATGCACTTTTTTACAATTTTATATTATATTTTTCAGTGTTAAGTGGTTGTATTTGGAGGCCTGGAACGGATTAATCCTATAACGAACGAATGCTATAACGAACAAGGTTCTAGAACCAATTATATTCGTTATAGCATACTCCACTGTACATGTCATATATTTTGCACAAAAGATAAAATTTTTGCTCTCTCTAATAAAATTCTTAAATTAGATCTAAAATTTGTATGTCTAATGCAAATTTTAGCTTGTTTATATTCAAATTAATCATTATCTTATAAGAATTCCAGCAATGTAAATTATATTCTGGCCGGGTAATTTCTATGAATTTTATGAGCTAAAAACAAAAATCTCAAGTACAGTCGGCCCTTAACATACGCGGGTCTAGCATACACGGATTTGCAAATACGCGGATTGCTCCGCCGGAGGAATATCTGTACATTGAAGTACATTCAAATCGCGCGCCATTCAACTCGCACGAGGCACATCACACAGGACACCGCCCGCTCCCGCAACCTCACACACACACGCATAGCTCTCCCTCACCCAGTCAGTCTCGCTGTAACCACGCTTGTGTTGACATCAGCATTGTAGTTGCAAAAACATTACATTTCCGTGAATGTATCATATCAAGCACAGTATGAAAAGAATATCACTAATATAAGAGTATTTTAACCGAAAACTACTAAAAAAACGAGTAACATATCTTGAACATCGGAAGGTTAGGTAAAGTCTTTTGTTTTCATGTAGTTTATCCTAATTTACATTGAAATGCATTACGTTTCAGCAAAACTACTGTTTATTTCTGAGAATATGGAAATGTAATATTTTGCTGAAATGACGTACGTATTACAGTGGCAAGTGACGAAAGCAATGACTTTCGCTTTCTTTCATTCAAAAGATGTTACCGTAATCGCTTTTCGAATGGTTTTCAGTTAAAAAACTGTTATATTACAATAATATTCTACCCTAATTCACTTGTGATGCAACAGTTTTTTAACTGAAAACCATTCGAAAAGCGATTACGGTAACATCTTTTGAACGAAAGAAAGCGAAAGTCATTGTTTTCGTCACGATTTTATCCCACTTTGCACTGTAATACGTACGTCATTTCAGCAAAAATATTACATTTCCGTGAATGTAGTATATCAAGCACAGTATGAATAGAATATCATTGTAATATAACAGTATTTTAACCGAAAACTATTAAAAAAACGAGTAACATCTCTTGAACATCGGAAGGTTAGGTAAAGTCTTTTGTTTTCGTCATGTATTTTATCCTATTTTACATTGAAATACATCACGTTTCAGCAAAACTACTATTTATTTCTGAGAATATATTCATTCAGGCACAGTTTAGGTAAAATATACATGTGCTGTAACATTTTTTTAATTGAAAATGATTCGAAAAACACGTACCCTCTAGCCCTGTTCAAGGAGAAGACTGGGAGGAGCTGTTTGGTGCTTAAGACGATGACAAGGAAAATGATTTTGATGGATTTTAATGAAAATATTCATAAAGACCCTGGCACTGTCAAGGAAAGTGGCTGCTGAAGGCTTCCAGGACATGGCAGAGAACGAGATTAGGGAGCTAACTGAAGAGCACGACACTGAGCTGACCGAGGAGGATCTACAGGAGTAAGTAGACTCAGGCAAGGAAGAGGAAGCGAAAGGGGAAGAGGAAGAGGAAGCGAAAGGGAAAGAGGAAGAGGAAGCGAAAGGGGAAGAGGAAGAGCACCAAGAAATAATGTTGGAGAAGTTGGGGGAGATGACCAGGAATATTGAGGCACTGAAAAACCTGGCCTATAGTATGGACCCCTCCATGGTGCATGCCCTGAAATTCATGCGAGGGATGGATGACGTTTTTGCTCCATACAAAAACATCATGGAAGAAATGAAAAGAAAGAGACGACAACTCCCCATCACCATGTTCTTTGATCACCGAAGGAGAGATTTAACACAATCAATCACTGGCGGCAGTGAGGAAGCAGCTGAATCCACCGTCGCTCCCACTTCACCACCCATTATGGAATTGAGTGATGATGAGCCCGATGACCCCCGTCCTGTCGCCAAGGATAGGTACTGTACAGTAAAGTGAAATTTTTATCTCTTTTTTTTTAATAGCTTTTCTTGCCATGTTTATTGTTTGTAAAAATGCATAGCACAGTACAGTTCAGTACTGTACATAGGAAGTGGAGGTGCAGTTATTCACAAAACATTTGTGTTTGTTGTCGGCAGTAGTGACGGTGAGGAGGTGGAGGAGGCGGAGGAGGGAGCGGAGGGAGCGAGTTGGGAGCAGGGATGAGTGGAGATGCCAGCCAGTACATAACGGGTGTATTAATTGTTTTTATAGCTATTTTTGCATTTTAATATTAAATACTGTACATTACGTTTCAACAAAAACTTCCATTTATTTCTGAGAACATGGAAATGTAATATTTTTGCTGAAATGATGTACGTATTACAGTGGAAAGTGGGATAAAATTGTGACGAAAGCAATGACTTTCTCTTTCTTTCGTTCAAAAGATGTTACCGTAATCGCTTTTCGAATGGTTTTCAGTTGTTGGATTATAAGGCTAATACAGTACGAGTACAACAGT